TTCTGCTGAGGTGAAATTCAGTGCAGTCATGTATCGTGATATGTATCGTATCGGGGCCTCTGTATCGTGATATGTATCATATCGTGACGTTGCTGGTGATACACAGCCCTAGTAAATGGTTATTATAGGATATAATAATATATTAAGATATATTAAGATAAGCAGTAAGTTAGCAGAATACAGAATACAAGCTCGCGCTGCTGAGGCTCACTCTGTTTGTCTCGAGACTTCAGAACAAATGAGCGTGACAGCACATAAACTCAGAAGAAACACACTGAGGTAAAAATTCTAAATGTTTAGTTTATTCATAACATGATATAGTTAAGTATCACCATGACAAGTGAGCTATTTTGCTCAATATTCTCACGAAGTATGTAATAAAATGTGTATTTCCATTACAGGTTTAGGTCTTAAATTTCATATAAGGTGGTATTAAAAAGGTCTTAAAAAGTCTTAAATTTAACTTGTTAATGTCTGCAGAAACCCTGTCTTTTCATTACATATTTGGGAAAATGGTTGTGTTTTCAAATGCATGTTAAAGCGCGACCAAGTGAAAATGAGCTGCTCACATGTAAATGAACACAGTACCGCTCTTTACACTAAAACATACAGCACATATTTTTATTTATAAATCACGATTTCAAGTTTATTTTGATTATTTCGTGCAGCCATAGAAGAGATGCATTCTTCTTGGTAAAAACACAGTGCAGAGACAGGAAATTAGGATCAACATTGCATTCAGAAATTTAAAGGGGAAGGTGCACACACATACAGACAGGCATATCAGGTACACATTTGAAAATTTTGGTGTAATTCTACATATATGAACATAATACTTTCTATACCTGTTACGTGCGTGTGTGTGTGTGTGTGTGTGTGTGTGTGTGTGTGTGTGCGCGCGTTTCTGTAAGCAGGGTCAGTTTGGCGTTCAGGAAGAGGATTTACTGAAGAGTCTGACGTGCACCACATCAGTGACGCGAGGAGAGGCCATCCAGCGACTCCACAACCAGCAGCAGGCTGAAGGTGCGGCACAGTTTCACTTCGAAGTCACTAGTGCGTCTGACACCCTTCATATCGATCACGGTGTGTTTTATATGTTCATTCAGATGCCAGAGACTCCATCGCTAAGGTGGCCTACGGTCGCGTGTTCGGATGGATCGTCAGTAAAATCAACGAACTGCTCGCTCCTAAAGTAGACTGTGACGTGGAGCTCAATGAAATAGGTAAGAAATGCTGTGACTGAAAAATTTGTCTCCTTTTATCTGAAATAAGGCTGAAATAAAATAAAACACAAATATTAGATGAAAAACTTTGAAGTGCTAAAATGACTTAAACTAAAATAAAAATAAATTATATTAAAAAATAATAAAAATGGCAAAAGCGCATAACAAAATTGCTAAAACTTTAAGTAAAATTAAAATTAAAAATGAAAATATAAAAAATGAAATCTAATTCAAAATATTATTAAAAACTATAATAGTATATAAATGTGACCCTGGAGCACAAAATCAGTCTTAAGTCGCTGGGGGATATTTGTAGCAATAGCCAAAAATACATTGTATGGGTCAAAATTATTGATTTTTCTCTTATGCCAAAAATCATTAGGATATTAAGTAAAGATCATGTTCCATGAATATATTTTGTAAATTTCCTACTGTAAATATATCAAAACTTAATTTTTGATTAGTAATATGCATTGCTAAGAACTTCATTTGGACAACTTTAAAGGTGATTTTCTCAATATTTAGATTTTTTTGCACCCTCAGATTCCAGATTTTCAAATAGTTGTATCTCGGCCAAATATTACAAACCATACATCATCTGAAATCTGAATAAATAAGCTTTCCATTGATGTATAAATCTCAATTTTGAAAAATGTACCCTTATGACTGGTTTTATGGTCCAGGGTCACAAATTATAATAAAATAACACTGGCTTAACAATACAGTTTTTTTCAATGGCTGACATACTGCAAATTATTATAAATAATTAATCTAAATTATAATGATTTTTTTCATCCGTTTCATCTTTTCATCTTCATCTGTGGATAAGTCTGATGTTAGAATTTTAGAACTTTTAAAATAATAATCTCATAATGGTGAAATATTTGCAGATTTATCAACCTATCACAAGTGAATACCTCGTTTTCCAACATGAGCGATCCCTTAACCTTGACAATACAAAATAACACTGTACCCAATGTTTAGTGCAGATATTACAGTTTTCCTGCATTTTTTCCCATTTATCAGACTGAATGTAACTAACCTGTAACTGCTGAACACTTTCTGGCTGATTGTTAAATGCCATCTTTGTCAGCTGGATCATTGCATTTTTATTTTTCCATCCATTTTTTATTTTATTTTATTTTAGTTTTTTATTTTATTATTATTTTTATTATTTTTATTTGTTTATTTTACTCCTGAGTAAATGGTAGATAATTAACTCTGTGCAACACTGTTCTTGCAATGACAATAGCCTTAGCTGTTATTAAAATCTTAACTAACATCCATTTCTCTGAAACTGGATAGAAAATTCTTATTTTGTACAATTATTATTTACTTTCTCTCTTCACAGGAATCCTTGACATCTTTGGTTTTGAAAACTTTGCTGTGAACCGATTTGAGCAGCTCTGCATTAATCTGGCTAACGAACAGCTCCAGTATTTCTTCAACCATGTAAGTCCTTCATAGTGCTTCGTTATGAGTTTGGTATTTGTATAGAAAAACATACAAAGTTTGATTCAAGTCTCCATTTTAACTATGTCAGTAAAAAGGCCAACAAATAAATTGCATCAGTGGTAATCCTCCATGGGGCTGCATTAAAAATATTAGGCTTTTTTGGATATATTGCATGTTTGTACACCTAAAAGTTTAATAATTTAAATCTATTAAAATTGTAAATATTACAATCTCTTTAAAATTATATTTAAAAATACTTATTTTTAATAAAAAATTTATATTTATAATTGATATAATTGCTTTAGCAAATTTAAACTGTCCAGAATGTCCTGCCTAGTTTTTTTTTTTCTCTTTGCAAAATGAATCTATTAAATATATTAATCTATCGTGAAAAGGAGAATCAGACAACGACAACCACAGACTGCTGAGCATCTGAAGTCTTTTATCAAGCGAGATTGGGCAATAATTTTGCTTGCAAAACTTTAATAATTAGTATCTTCACTTCCCAAATGATTAAACATTGTAATTAAAAGGACAGTTGATGTGACAGTGTTAAACATGCATCTGTCCCAACTTTTTGGGAGTGTGTTGCAGCCATCAAAATAAAAATGTTTATTTTTACAAAGTGAAATCTTTTCTTTGTACTTTTGTCAGTTAAATAAGAGCTAAAGAGAATGAACAAATCACAGATTCTTGATTTCATTGCTTTTTACAGAAGGTCCCAACTTTTTCCGTTTTGGGGTTGTAAAATGAATCGGTCATTTAACTTTATTTCAAATAAAGTCTTGAAGAAAACCCAAGGCAGCAGATGTTAGGAACCATTAAATGCCACATTCGATCACAGACACAGGCCGTTCTTTCAACAGGACATTATTTGCCACTCCATGAATGTAATAATCACATTTTCCATGTCGTTTCCCTCCAGCACATTTTTCTGATGGAACAGAAAGAATATAAAGAGGAAGGCATCACATGGGAGACCATAAGCTTCAAGGACAACAAACCCATACTGGTACGTCAAAACCGTTTTCACCCTCCGTGATTATTGTGCACTTTTTCCAACTCTTTTTTTTTTCCCATTTTCGTTCCCTCTGACTCCAAAAATAACCCCGAGCTCTGCGTTTGGCAGACGGCCGTGTGGTAAATCCCAAACACAGGAAGTGCTGACAAAGCAAGACGCGTAGCTTTGAGAATCTCTCAAATTTCTGCATGTTTTCTGACCTAAATCCTTCGGCGCGCTGCTGAATGGGAAGCTTAAAGAAACCTGAAGCTTGTTTTCATTCTCACGTGAGATTCCTGCCCCTGTAAATGCAAGCTCTGCCCTGTAATTATGGGTATTCAGCAGCTGCCTGTTTGGAAAGCTGCATATTAAATGCATGTCACGTTCATATAACATTCAGCTTCGTATCCTGTTGTGTAACATGGATCTGAGGCCTGTTTAGCTTGTCAGCATGGAAAACTCTTTCACCCATGCCACCTCTGTTTCAGGACCTGTTCCTCACCAAACCCATCGGGATTCTCTCACTGCTGGATGAGCAGAGCGCCTTCCCTCAGGTACACTGGTTGCTTGCTAAACCCTGAGACACAATAGAAAACATGGTGCCAAGTCCTCCATAGGGCCAAAATTACATTTATTTGTACAAATGCATACAACAAAAAAAAATTTTTGTCTTACAGCAATTACGTTTATGCATTTAACTGATGATTTTTTTAGTGCATTTAACTGATATTTATACACCGAAACATTTTATAATTTAATATCAATTTTCTTTAAGTATTGCAACTCTTTAAAATTCTATTTAAAATACATTTAATTTTTATTGATATTTTGTATTTATAATTAACATAATTATTATGCCTCATAAATGTATTATTGTAAAAGCAGGGGTTTTTTTTATTTTACAAACGGATGGATGTGATCATCTCCATTGGGCTGCATTAAAAATACTGTGTTTTTGTTATATTGGACATATTTGGACACCTCAAAAACGAATAATTGTAATTAAGTTAAGTTATTTAAGTATTGCAGTCTCTTTAAAATTATATTTGAAAATACTTATTATTATTATTATTTATAATTAAATTTATATAATTGCTTTTGCTAAATTAAACCCTCCAGCATGTATTACTGTAAATGCAGCCATTTTTTTACTGCACTTTTTTTTTCTTTTTTTTTTTTGCATTTTATAAACTGAAGGACAAAAAAACATTATTTTCTGTGGTAATCCTCCATATTTGTACACTTCAAAAAATGTAATTTAAATTATATATATTTTTAAGTATCGCAGTCGCTTTAAATTTATATTTCATTTTTATTTATAATTTAACTTAAATAAGAATTTGCTTTTTTATTTATAGCTTATCTCATTTTAAATGCAGCATTTAATGCAGCTTTAAATGCTGCATCTTTCTTGAAAGATGAAAATGTGTTCTGTGATGATCAACAGCTCACATAAAGCTCAACTTGTATTGAACCAGGAACAATTATTTTAACAGCCATTGAATTAAAGCTAAGCAACAGTTTCAGAGTCTCAGAGTTAATAATCTCTGCCTGTTCTGTGGAATTACGGTGGAGTTGACATTAATTGTGGACTATGTAACATTTGTTTACGGTCATGTGACTGCATTTGTTGTGAGAGAGTAGTGAATCTCAAATACGTTAAATCAATATTTATAGCAAACAGCATGTGATAATCATTTCTGCACCCACAGGCCACTGACCGAGATTTTGTTGACAAGTTAAACAGCAAATTTAAAACTGCTCCAAACTTTGAGGTTGTGCGAAACCACACCCCTCTATTCACTATTGTGCACTATGCTGGGAAGGTGAGTGTACAAAAGCATCGTCATCACTGTTACCTCACAATTCACCTGATCACTGACTTCATTTAGATCAACGGTGGAATTGTTGTGCTGGTTAATAATTAAATTATTATGCATTTTTCCCAGAGGGGACTCATTAATAAGGGTGTTTTTTTCTTCATAATGTGTGCATTATTCCAGCATGAAGTGTCTTTGTGATCTGTTCAGGTGCAATACAATGCAAGTGGATTTCTTGAGAAAAACAGAGACACGATACCAGCCAACATTCGCGAGCTCTTCATCAACAGCGTCACTCCTCTCCTCAGCGTTCTGTTTGCAGGTCTTTAAATGTTTTTTATGGTATTTGTTATTTTGTATGTTATTTTTTTAATTAATGTTGTATTATATTGCATTATTTTTAATTTATTACAATGTTTTTCCCCAAAGTATTTGTTCTTAATAATAATTATTATAATTATTATCATAATTTTTTTTTTTTATGTTCACAGATTATTTGATGTATAAATAAGTGAAGATACTTAAACTTCAGCTAACAAACAAAAGCATTTGATTGTAGTTTCCCCTTGATCATTTATTCATTATTATTGTTATATAATGCTTTTTAAAGCTTTATGCTTTTTTTTTTCAGCCACAATTTCCCGAACAGGCACACTAATGCCACGCAAAGCCAAGGTGCGGTGTATATATAATATATATATATATTTTGACATACCAGTTAACTTTATGAGTGTCTGTTAAAACACATGTTGTGATATTTCCCAGATACCTTGATAGGCTGGTGTTTGAACATATTTATAGCTGTATAAATGGCAAATTACTCTCTTAACCGTGAGATCAGTGATAATTAATCCACATGATCCTGTGTGCATTTTAATTTTAGTTACAAGTTGCAGATGACAACTTTAACTCAACCAGGAAGCAGTCCGTCGGCGCACAATTCAAGGTAAATCTTTGCTTCTAAAAAAATCATAGTTATGTTTTTTGTTTCGGTTTATTTAATGCATCCTATAATTAAAGGAATCAATGCATCTAAATATGTGCATCTTAAATATGTACATCTATTAATTTCTATTTTGCATGTATCAGAAATATTAAATTGATTAATCTCACAAAAACTGTCAATAACATATCCAATTCATATTTCTGTGGAAGCTTGTTTCCGGCACAGGATAAATAACTAGAATAAAGGTAATTGTGACCACTTTTCTCACAATTCTGTCTTTTTTTTTTCTATAAACTGCAAGATATACATTTAGAATAGCAAAATATAAGCTCAGAATTCCGAGATATAAACTCAGAATTGTGAGGTATAATTTAAATATAAATAAGATATAATTTTAGAATCGCAAAATATTAACTCAGAATTCCAAGATTTAAACTCAGAATTCCGAGACAAACTCTGAGATATAATTCCAAGATATAAATTAGATATAAATTTAGAATTCCGAGATATAAACTTACAATTCTGAGATATAAACTCAGAATTGTGAGATATAATTTAGATATAAATAAGATATAATTTTAGGATCGCAAAATATTAACTCAGAATTCCAAGATTTAAACTCAGAATTCTGAGACATAAACTCTGAGATAGGTATAAATAAGATATAAATTAGATATAAATGTAGAATTCCGGGATATAAACTTAGAATTGCGAGAATTTTTTTTATATAAATAAGATATAAATTTAAAATTGCAAAGTATAAATTCCGAGATACAAACGCAAAGTTGCGAGATAAAAACTTGAATCTTGAATTCCAAGATATAAGCTAAGAATCATGAGATATAAACTCAGAATTGCAAGATATAAACCAGCAATTCTGAGGAGAAAAGTCAGAATCCTGAGATATACACTTGCAGTTCTGGGTTTATATCTCACAATTCTGATTATAATTTCCAGAATTGTGAGATAAAATTACCTTTATTTAATAATTACCTGTATTTGTTTATTCTGTGGTGGAAACCGGTTTCCCTGTCTTTCACCTCATAATGAAGATAAATTATATTTTCAGAAAGTGAAGTCTATTTCTTGGATCATTTAAGATCTTTTGCATTGTGATTGTCATGATGATGACGCACTGACATTCCCTCGTGTGTTTGACCCTGTCTGCCTTTATTTAACAGCCTAAATGTCTGTGTGTTGTTTTCCGTGCAGCATTCTCTGGCTGTCCTCATGGAGAAGATGTTTGCGGCCGGTCCGCACTTTGTTCGGTGCATCAAACCCAACCGAAGCAAGCAGCCAGATCAGCTGGACAGTAAACTAGTGATGGATCAGGTGGGTTCAGCATCTGTAGTGAAGCTCTGCTGTGTTCGGCCCTTTTTGGGCCTCTTTTATTTTCCACAGCAGAGCCAAATGCGTTCTCAGATTTTCCTGCCCTCCGGTGGAGTCTGAGCTCTGTGAGCTGTACTTAAAACTGCAAGCCTTTTAATGCTGTTATGATGGAGCTCAATCCAAATCCCTCTAATGATACAGGAGCCGCTGGGTTTGTGTTTAAGTGCCAATATGGACTAAAAACTATATTAAGTGATTATCTTGTTGGAGCAGCTAGTTCTATAACGCATTGTAGATTTTACCTTTTTTTTCCATGTAAAACTTGCCACCACTAAATTAGGGTGCTTCTTATTGGGTGCTAAAGTGTTCTGGATGGATGTTCTCGAAAAACATCTGTTCTCTGTAAGATGGGTCCATCCTGCTCAAATGACCATATTGTCTCTGTCTGTGCATGTATGTTTACACATAAACAGCTATTAAGTCACATGGTCGGATGATGTACAGCCATGGAATGTAGAGTTTCATTCGGTACATAAGCAGTGCTGTTAAAAACTACAAGACTGTGCAACACTGACACCTCTTGGAAATTTGTGGAAGTGCACTTTGCAGCCTGTAAGAATTATTGTTTAAAGGGGTCCTATTATGCTTTTTCACTTTTTCAACTTTAGCTAGTCTGTAATGTTGCTGTTTGAGCATAAAAAAAGATCTGCGAAGTTACAAAGTTCAAAGTCCACTTCAAAAGGAGATATTTTATTTAACAGAAATCACTTTTCAAAACCTACAACGAACGACTCGTTTGGACTACAACGCATATTTTCCGGGATTTGTGATATCACAAATATCGACGAATGGGATCAGACCTGGTTGAGCTGCACTAGAGAAGGCAATGAGTGTTATCACTATGTCGGAGACACGCTAGCTGTCCCAAGGTAGACGAACTTAGAGTGGTTACAATCATCCGGGTTTAAATCGCGCTCAAATTGATTTGATTTTGATTTGATTTTGACGCAATATTTACACTGAAGCTCGCAGGTGGCTATGGTAAGGGGCATGACATTTTACCGACCAGGCGCCGAGTGCTGCCAATCACAACACACCCAGTGTGGTCGGGAAATGTCATGCCCCTTACCATAGCCACCTGCTAACCAATCACAACACACACTGGCCCAGCTAACCAATCACAGCACACACTGGCCCAGCTAACCAATCACAGCACATTTCGTATTTCAGAAGGCGGGCCTTCATTTGATACAGGAACTATTCGAGCCGTTCATGCCAGACTGGGGAGAGAGGTGTTGTAATAATGTAAAATATGTGAAAAATAATGTGTTTTTCGAACAACCTAGTATGAGAGCCTGTTCTAGTACACCCCCAAAACAAAATCAAGACTTTGTAAAAGAGCATAATACGACCCCTTTAAAATAGTAACTTTATTGACAATGAAGAGCTCAAAATGAACATGAATAGTTTTCCTTTCAAATAAAAAAAACAACAACTCTTCGTTTTTTTTATTTTTTTTTATGATATAGCTCACAAGTTGGATAAACTGCTTTTATGATACATTTGCTATTTTTGATACAATAATATTGTTGACTGTTTTTGAAGCTTGGCAGTAAAAATCATCCACACTTGTTTGCAAAATTAAGATTTCTTTGTGTTTCATGGAAGATGTTTGTACAGTATGAGCGTGAATAAATACTGACAGAACAGTTTAGTTTTTGTGTAGTCTCCCTTTAAAAGTGACCTAATGGCACCTTTCATAATCTCAGTTGTCCAGTCCATCATATTCGTGTTCTGATTGTCTGTTTCCATCCTCTGTAGCTGAGATACAACGGCCTGATGGAAACCATCCGAATCCGGCGGGACGGTTTCTCGTGGCGTCCGGCGTTCAAGGAGTTTGCCGAGAGGTTCGTGTGCAGGCAGGAAAACTGACATTTTCTGAGTTCATTGCGTCAGATTCCCTGCGGCGTGACTCACATTTCTGTCCTGTAGGTACAACATTCTGCTGCTGAAACCGGATCTCCCGCTGGACAAAAGCAGGTGTGAACAACACATACATCAGAGCTGTGTTAAAGTAATGTGCACCAAGAAATGCAGGAAAAAAGTTCCCACCTAGATGGATAACAATGTACTTTTGTTAATAATAATGTGCTGTTATAAAAGATAATAATAGCACATTTGACAAATGTTTAAAAGATCACTCACATGAGGGGAATAAGCTTCTTATTATTTGGTTTCATTAAAATGCATTGTTTTTTTTTGTTGTTGTTTTCAGTTGCGTGTCGATCCTGAACAGCACTGAACTCTCTGGTTGGAAGTGCGGGTAAGTTTGAGCATGTTGCAACCTGTTTAAGTCATAAAGTAAATCAAATTATATGCATTATTAGTGGTATTTGAGGCATGCATTACTGTTATGATTGTTTATATGATGGTGTAATGATTTGAACAAACCCCTAACACTCACATTTTTATTCCTGTCATTTTTAAGTCCTGTCAGGATAAATTAAATATAAAATTCATCAAAATGTAATAAATAATAATAAAATATAATACATATACATAAATTAACTATTTAATAGTTTATTACTATAATTTATTAACATACTGGTAAAAAAAATTAAGGTTTTTATTATAGCTTGAATGCACTGTAAGTCGCTTTGGATAAAAGCGTCTGCTAAATGCATAAATGTAAATGTAATATATAGTACATATATAAATACATAGTGTGTGTGTGTGTGTGTGTGTGTGTGTGTGTATAAAGCAGTTATTAGTTTGTGTGTAATATACTTAAAAGTTTTGTGTGTAATATATATGTTAATATATGTGCTATATAACATTTAACATTTTAAAAATATTTATAATTTAAAAGCATTAAAAAATTTTAAATTAAACATTAATTTCACAAAATTCTAATAAAAATAAAAAAGTATTAAAATGTAATAACAATATAATATAACACAATATAATAAATATACATAAATAACTATTTTATAATTTATTAAATTATTTAAAACATTTATGTGTGTGTGTGTAATAAATAATAACACCTATATTACATATATTTAAATTGTACATTATGTAAATGTATTTTTTATTATTATTATTTTATTTATGAAATAATCTATGCATTGCATAATACATTACATTTTTTTATATTTAATACATTTATTAAATAATTATTGGAATATTTAAATATGTATTAAATACACATTTACTACTACAATGACAATGAGCTTGAAATGAAAAGAAACATTTATCTTCTGAAATGGAAAAAAAAATCTGTAATTATCTACTTGCCCTCCTGACGTTACAAATCCAAATGCTACATTCATATTCATAAAATGTTAAAGTCTAGATTTCGTAAGTCCTGTCAAGGTGTTCAGGTTTATGTTGTCACAGGATCTAACATGTATTCATTTCTTTAATTTGGCTTGAACATCTGGTGATAAAATAATATGAACCGATACATTAGATACTTTAATGGCTCTCATAATATTGACGCATCGAGCAAGTCACAGCAGTTCTCTTGTGCTGCTCTTTCAGGTCGTGCCGGTTGTTTTTTAAGTACTGGCACCAGGAGGATTTGGCCCGTCTGCTGGAGAGACTGGGACGAGCGGCGCTTGTCATTCAGAAGAGTGAGGAGCAATTAAACTCGTTTGTTTATTCCTCAATAAGAGTATATTAAATACAGCTCTTGGCTCAAAGTTTGACTGTTTTATAGCAGCCTGAATCACCCCTCAGAAACACACTCATAAAAACACTCATCAGAGCAAGTTCAGACGTGAACTTACCTGGATATGTGGCTTATGTAAATAATGGCACAGGATGAATGGGAGGACATTATAAAACGTCTTCTGCCATATATATTATTTAGTTTTTGTTGTTCACTCGTAATGTCAATGTTTGTTTCATCAAAGGTCATTATGGCTGTTTTCCATCCTCTGACCCATAGTTAGAGTTATGTTTTTGTGACTGTACCTTTAAGACTTTTGTATGTAAATGGCCTGTTATGATTCAGTAACCCCTTCATAGTGGCGTAGTTCGCATTATTGTTTGTAATCAGGACTAATCAAGTCGCAGAGTACTGAATTTGTGTTAAAATGTAAATTTGGGAGGTCATACACTATTTATATAAGCCTCCCATATTTATTTAATATTTAATAATGCATTTTTTATCAGAAGCACAGTAAAAACAGTAATATTGTGGAATATTTTTACAATTAAAAAAAAATACTTAAGAAATTAAAATGTAAATTTCAGTTTCACAAAATTAAAAAAGTAAATATACATTTTATTAAAATGTAGTAGTAATAATAATATAATAAATATACATAAATTAACTATTTTATAATTTATTAAATTATTATTTTAATAAATTATTATTAAAAGTGTGTAATCAATAGAAATATTACATATATTTAGATTTTATGTAAGTTATTAATTTTTTATATTATGTATACATGTATTTATTATTTGTATTTTAATTTTAATTTTATTTTTATGATATTTTATCATTATTTATTAAGTTTTACATGTATTGCATAATACATTACATCTTTAAATATTTATTACATTTATTAAATAAATAATGGAACATTTAAATATCTATTAAATACACAAATTTAAAAGAACTGTTTTCTATTGTAATATATTTTAAAATGTCATTTATTCCTGTGATCAAAGATGAATTTTCAGGTTGCGCTGCTTCCTATTTTGGTGGAAACCATGATACATTTTTTCCAGATGTTTTTTATGAATATAAAGTTCAAAATAACAGCATTTATTTAAAATGGAAATCTTCTGTAACATTATAAATGTCACTTTTGATCAATTTAATGTGTCCCTGAGGAATAAAAGAAGTTGTATTTTAAATTTAATTTAATTCAATTCAATTTTTTTAAAAGATGCACAACTGATTTCAACATTGACAATAATTAGAAATGTTTTTTGAGCAGCAAATCAGCATATTAGAATGATTTCTGAAGATCATGTGACACTGAAGACTGGAGTAATGATGCTGAAAATTCAGCTTTGATCACAGGAATAAATTACAATTTACAATATATTCACCTAGAGAACAGTCCTATTAAATGGTAAAAAATATTTCAGTATTTTTCTGTTTTTACTGTATTTTTGGTCAAGTAAATGCAGCCTTGGTGAGCAGAAGTGATTTGAAAACAATTCATAATTTTTCTAAATGTTTTTACTTTTGACTTGTATTTTCACATTTGTCTCTGTATAATTCAATGCCTCAGAATGAAAAGAATTCAGGCTTAGGGTTAGTTCACCCAAAAATGAAAATTGGCCCATAAATTACTCCCCCTCAAGTCATCCTAGGTGTATATGACTTTCTTCTTTCAGACGAATCCAGACGGAGTTATATTAAAAATAGTCTTTGATCTTTCAAGTTGTTTAACGGCAGTCAGCGTGTGTTGCATAAGGCCTTCTGTAGTGAATCGATGCATTTTTGTAAGAAAAATAACCATATTTAAAATGTAATAATCACTTTAATGTAGCTTGCGCGCACTGTTGTAAACGGAAGCAGTTCCGGGCGCGTGACGTATGAGGTCGACGTTGCGCATGCGCCGCTCAGAAGTGACGAACGCAGAAGCGCAGCGGAGAGATCAAAACAAAACAACGGTCACTTATTAGAAGTACAAAGCTTGAAAGATCAAAGACAATTTTTAATATAACTCCGACTGGATTCGTCTGAAAGAAGAAAGTCATATACACCTAGGATGACTTGAGGGTGAGTGATTTATGGGCTAATTTTCATTTTTGGGTGAACTAACCCTTTAAGTGTATTACTGTAAACCTGATTTATGCTTATTTTAGATGAGTTTGTTTTGTGTCGTTCGAGTGTGTTTAATACTTGACTGCGTCTCTTGTGTAGATTACCGTGCTCGGATCTGCCGGAGGAGGTATCTGTCTCTGCTGGCGGAGATATGGCGGCAGCGTCAGGCCCAGCGGGAGAGAGAGGAGCGCGAGGAGGAGGAGAGGAGGAGACAGCAGCTGGAGGACGAGAGGAAGAGGCGTCTGGAGCTGGAGCAGGAGAACCTGCGTAAGAGCTGTCCTCTGTGTTCACAGCAGCGTCAGTGCTGATGGCAGTGGTGTGTGTTAAACTCGTGTGTGTGTGTGTGTGTGTGTGTGTGTGTGTGTGTGTGTGTGTGTGTGTGTGTGTGTGTGTGTG